GCCTACCATCTTGATTCTGTAAATACAGTTGACATTTTACTGTACTTAGTGTATTGGCATTTCCTCTATCCACTTAGTCGTTGCTTTATCCATCTTACAGTTGATTTTACTTTTTATACATTGCAATGTAATTTGCAGGCATCAGTGTATTTTGTACCTAAACATTTCATTATTTAATAATTCATGGAGCCCTTTTTTAAAGGTAAAGCTTAAACAGCTTATGAAGACTTGATGCTAAATTGCACCATTTAATGAGTTTTGACAGAGATACTTAACTGTGTTTTTTTTCTTAAACTCTCAAGATATAGAATCTGTTCAGTAGCTCAAAAGGTTCCCTCATGCTTCTATCAGTGCACTGTCCCCTGAAAGGGACCCACTGTTTTGATTGTTTTCATCATAGATTAGTGTGTTTTTTTTTCCTCTTCTACAATTTCATATAAAAAATATAGTCTGTGTTCTTTTCTGTGAAATTTCTTTTACTCAGGAGAGTTTTGGAAATTGTATATTTTATGTATATAGTCAGCAGACATTTAGGGCTTGCTTTTTTATCCTTTCCTTCTGTCTTCATCTTTAATTCTGTGACAGTTGGCACATTTGCTGACCTGGTTGGATATGTCAGCTTGTCATTTACACTCTGATAGTTCCCTTACTTTTACTTTCCTTGTCTTTTTTTGGGGGGAGGGGGTTAATTATATACTTCTCTTAGAAATTAATTATATGTAACTGTTGATTTCTTAGTGATATAGTTGTATCATTTTTCCCTGAAGTTATGCTAATAAGTACATTGCTTCCTTGAACTTTAAGGATATAAAAATTGTATTGTTCTTACATTACATGCACAGTTTATTTTAAGTCACAATGTTAATTGGGCTTTTTTAATTTTCATTTTATATATAATAGTGTTTTACCTGTATGTATGTAAGTGCACCCATGTTGTACATGGCCTGCAGAGGCCAGAAGAGGGTGTTGGATCTCCTGGAACTGAAATTAGGGAAGGTTGTTAGCTGTCATGTGTGTGCTGGGACTGGAACCAGGTCTTCTGCAAGAGCAGCCAATGCTCTTAGCCTCTGAACTATGTCTCCAGCCCCATTATTATCATTTTTACCTTAAATAATCTGATCGATTGCAATGAACTGAGAGAAAAAAATAAGATTTAACATTTACCATTCCCATTTTTATTCATTTCTTTCTGATGATGAGAATTTCTTTCTGGTACCCTTTCCCTTTTGTGTTTTGGTAAGTTTTACTTAACGTATATTATAGTGTGGATCAACTAGTGATGGTTTATTTCTGAAAGTATGTTTTCTCTTATTTTATCCCTGAAAGATATTTTGCTATGAATTTCTATGTTGGTAGCTTTGTTTTTCAGTATTTGAATGATGTCCTCCCATTTTTCTGGCATCTGCTGTTTTAAATCATAAATCAACATCTATTGTTGTTTCCCTGTGTGCTGTGTTTCTCTGAATACTTTCCAAAGTATGTGAGGAGTTGTAGTTAACCTCATAATTATGCATATGGAAAATCATTATATGTTTTGAATTCTACAAATTTCTTGTTTGAATACTTAAACATTTCTTTCTTGATCTTTTTAAAACTATTAAATTTCAAGTATTTCACAGTCAGAATTTTCCAGTCTACATCTAAATTCTCCTAAATTTGGAAGGCAGCTATGTTCACTACTATACCACCAACACTAAATTCTCCTAAATTTGAAATTATTTGTATCAGAACCACTAATTTTTCCACTTCACCATCATTAATTATCTCTCCATGAGTCCATATATATCTTTCTCTAGTCAGCCTCCTGGTGTATGTTGGCATTTTCTCACTGGGAACTTCAGTTATGGTGGTGTCAAGGCACTGTTCATTATATAGAAAATCATATGTTCTCTCAAAGGATACAGAATCATGATCAGATAAGAGAAATGAATTTCAGGAGACATTTTGTACAGCAAATTAGCACTATAGTTACAGATTCTTGAAGACTACAAAATATGGGAGTTACTTACGTACCCAAAAATGAATAATAATGAGGCAATGGACTTGTTTTGCAGCTAGATTTAGCTATTCCATAATATGTGTATATTTCAAAATATATCTCACATGATAAAAACAGTGTCATTTTTCAATTAAAACAGGTAAAATGAAAATAAAATTAGAAATTCTCCAATATATACTACAAGCTCTGTGTACTAGAAATCAAAAACTTCAGTATTTATCCTTTTCTGAGGTATTGCCCTAACCTTGGGGATATTCCTTTTCTCAATTATTAAATGGATAGAAAGTGGAAAAATTAAGAACAGATGATGCCTTTAAAAATGTTTGAATCTGCCAGGCGTGGTGGCACACACCTTTAATCCCAGCACTTGGGAGGCAGAGGCAAGCAGATCTCTGTGAGTTCAAGGCCAGCCTGGTCTACATAGTGAGTTCCAGGATAGCTGGGGCTACAGGGAGAC